CAGACATGCTGAACAGCTGAGATTTGACCCAGAGGAACGTTGGCAGACATGAGTCTTGGGCCAATGGAAAATTCATGAAGATGAACAAGAAGTACAAAGCTCTTTCCATCAAGTGGAATAGTCCCATGGATCAGTAACCAACAGGCACCGACCGTCTGAGCAGCAGCTTCGCTGAAAAGGACAACGAGGGGATTGAGTATCAACCTGAAGATAACCTTCCAGTGCACTCCCACTGCCAAGGGGCAAAGCAGGCCCTCAGCTGCACGAGGAAAAGCACGGCCGAGAGACTGCAGCGGGTTACGCTCCCCCTCTGCTTGGCACGGCTCAGGCTGTACCCAGAGCAGTGCTCAACTTTGGGCCCACACAGCTCAAGAGGGATGTGGAGAAACTGAAAATGGTTCAGCGAAGGGCTGTCACAATGGGAAAGAACTTTACATACCAAAGCCACAATCTGCAACTCTTGCTTCTCATTATATATGCTGGCACTACCAAGAGGAGCTTGCCCCTATAACCTTGTACCTTCGCTTTCATTAGCTATTAGACTAGATTCATCTGCTATTAGATCACCCCTCAATTTCGTCTTCAACAACCTTTAGCAGTCCAGCTCCCTCTGCCTCTCCTCTGATGCATGTAACCTAGCCTTGTGGGGTTCAGAAAAACTTTTAAACTAGAAAAGCAATGCAGGAACAGGCATTCAAAACAGAAACAGAGTCTCCAGGGAAGCGGTGGGCTCTCCATTCCTGGAATTTTTCAAGACTTGGCTGTGCAAAACCACAGCTGATCTGATTCAATATTGGTAACAATCCCATTCATAGCAGAAGCTGGATGAGATGACTCCTAGAAGTCCAATCCAACCAACGTTTCTGTGACTGAATAGAAGCTTGACTACACAAGACCCCCTTCACACTTGATTCATTACTTCTTTGAACTTGTCCGGACAAGCACAAAGAAATATAACTTATTTGCTCCACAATAATATATTTTTCTGTAAAGTAACATTACACACAGATGTCTCAAGTTCTATACTGCAGAACTAGCAACCTTCTTCAACTTAGTGTAAACACTGCTTAGCAACAGCTAAACCATCAATGTGTTTTCAACATTATTCTCATCTTAAATCCGAAACACAGCACTGTGCCAGCTACCAGGAAGAAAATAAACTCTATACCAGCCAAAACCAGGACAGGTTTTGAATGCACTCATCTAAGCACACGTGTCAAAATCTTCTTTCTTTTATGTCTGTCCATGTAAATGCAGCAGCATCCTTTGCACAGTACTGGCATGCTCGTACCGCTCTGAGGGATCGAGCATCAGCAGCCCACTTCTGTGGCTCCTCCTTCTACCTCGTGTGTCACACCC